AAAGAAGGAAGGGGGATTAAAAAAGAAAAGGAAGAAAGAAAAGGAAAAAGAGAGGGAGGGATAGAGTTTAACATTTGAAAGATTTTTATATGTATTCCAAGGGAACAAATTACCTCTAGAGGTAAATATTGCCTAAATTAAGCTTGTTGTTATGCATAGGATAGAATTGGTGTAAGATCAGAGTACAATATTGTACAACTCTGTTAGTGTATTTGAATGACAAGAAAATTTATAGATAATGGGTTATTTGAGGAGATTGCCGATAATATTTCCATCCTTATCTCCATGAGCCAGTTCAGGCTAGATTATATTATCTCAGATGTACTCAGTGATAGGAGTCCCTATCCATCTCTTACTTTCGCAAAGAATAACAATACAATCGTCCTAAATGTTTCTGAGATCCGAGCTTGATTCTAAACCGCCTTTATTCTAGAATATAAGCAGGATTGAGCATATTTTGAGGCCTGATGGAAATGACTAATGTAATCTCTTTAGGGTGAAAAACCAGTAGAGGATAAAGGAGCTGCATATAAGTGGCTTTGGTGACAGTATTATGTATAGTCAGTGGATACTATGCCAGCAGTATTGGCAGCGGCAAGAGAACTTTGGCACAGATGTTAGCACCACCTATGTCATTTCGGCAGGGCAGTGTCAGTGTACACATCTCCCAGAACTAGCAGTGATGGCATCTGCTGCACTGGGTCTTCCTAGGTGCTGCACACAGAGGACATCGTCAGCAAGCCAAAGTGAAAGAGGAGGCAAATAGCAAACATCATAGGGCATCACATGTGAGACACTTTTAGCAGGAATATCAAAGAGATGTGTCCATGCAGAGTGGATGGTGGCAGAACCAGAGAAATCTTTCTTCTTTCTCGTTGTTATTATTTTTCTATTTTGCCTCCCAAATTGGAGTAACCTGGGAAACATGGTTTACTTATGAAAGAGTGACTTCACTTCTGAACGCAGATGTCTTTGATGACAAATCTGGAATTAACCTTGTGACATTCTTTCTTCCCCCCACCCCAAGTAAACATTCCCCATTCACAGATACAGAAACAGACAATTTTTATGTGTGATACAAATTTCTGAATGAGTGTAGGCATCTATATTGCATACATCGGAAATCTCTAATACGGCAACAGTTGTATTCATACAGTTAAAATTCTATCTGCAGCTCCCTCCTCTGTTCCCTTTCTCTAAGTGCAACTTCCCTTCTGCCTTTTAGAATAGTTCATCCTGACAGTATTTTTTTATTTCAGATTTTTCAGGGGATTCTCTTTGGACACTCCATTTCTAATAACTAACGTTTTTCTGTTTGCTAACTTAAGCAGCTACAATGTCAAAGCAAGGACCCCAAAGTCTATGACAGATTATTTACATTCCTCTCATCAAAACCACATTTGTTTTAACCACAAGACAGCTTTCAAGCCTATAATATTTTTAGTTTAATCTGAAAAATTGGCCTGTCTCATTCAGATACTGGTTTTCTGTGCTGATTTGTGTTACACATCTTGCATGCAGCTCCGTGTTTACTTATGAAATGAATTATACCACCAACTCTTGATCTAAAACTTCTCATAGTAATGTTTAACCAATAAGCAAGGATGGTCCTGTCAGGGACTTTGGAGCTGGCTGTACTGGTGTCACCACAGTGTCAGGGACATGACTTGTCTTCTTGGCACAAGGAAGGAATTCTATTTGAGCAAGAATTCTGTTTTGCTCACAGCTGGTGCTATCACTAAAATTAATGATGAGTACATAGTCCTTGTTCAGCACTTATTTGTTGAATGAATGAGTGTTTAAGACCATCTACCATATTTCTGCTGCTTTTAGGATAAGGGCAAAACCCTTCATTACTAAATACTTGGCTCTCAAGGGCCTCTCTAACTCTCTCTCCTTAGGAGACCACTGATTTTCTATCCTGTGAAGCAGAACTGCTTTACCCCAGGACATCCCAGAACCCATTTACAATCTCTTGCATGACTACCAAAAGAGACAAATGACCACATTGTGGATACATTTTACTAGATTAATCTTCTAAGGGAAGACTCATTCCAAAGGTTTTGTCAGACACTTCTCCAAACATCATGGTATCAGTCAGGGGAAGCTAAGTAATGCTGCAATAACAAATAATCCTAGACTCTAAGGGGCCTATAAGACCTGAGGTTAGTTTTACTCACTCACAGCCTATGTCCACAGCTGATCAACAGTGGGGCTTTGTGCAAAACAGTCACCTGCCATCCGGCAGCACCCAGGCTAAGAGCACAGAAACCATCCAGAACATGCCAGTCACAGTGACAGAGAGGGAAAGGGAAAGGCAGAGCACACATGGAATCCTGAGTTTCTGCCTAGAAGTGCCACAAGATGCTTCTTCCCAAAATGGTATTAGCCAGAGCAGGTCATGTGGTCACACCTGAAGTCAATTAACAGGCCAAACGTGTATAATCCTCCTCTGAGGCGGGGAATGCAAATATTTATAAAGAGTAATATATTCTACCACTGCCACGTACTAAATAGTAGAATGTAGAATATCAAACCAGTCATTCAGTAGCTGTTTTCATTGGTTTACAACCTTAACCTCCAGGAGCAAGTATTTCCTGGAGCAAGCAGTCTTTCAGGTAATTAGGGTCTAAAACTTTGGGATCGATCGATCGATCTATCTATCTATCTATCTATCTAATATATATGGATATATATATATACTAAATTTTTTGCCTGGGCAGACACTTAAGTGTGCCTGGTAAACAGGGACATGCAAAAGAGGAATACCTGGGTCATAGGACAATTTTAAGCAATGAAAAAGAAAAATGTGTCAAGGGAAGTCGTAAAAACCACATCATGAATAAGACAGAAGGCATGAGACCACACAACTGAGTACAACTCAAAAATATGAAAACAAAATGCAGAAGGACAATCCACAGGAAGGAAATTCAAGAGGGATTAAACTAGACAACACAAATATTAAGGAAATTGAATTTCCAGAAACAGCAAACATAAGCAATTTAAAGAGAGAAGTCCTGATAACTAAACTGTTGTTTCATAAGTGAAATATTTGCGCAGATAAACCACCTATTTGAGCTAGAAGAGCTATTTACCCAGAAGAGCAAACTGTGATCAGATTAATTGGTTTGCAGGAGTTTCCTGAAATAAACAGTGAAATTAGTTATTAGTTTATGGCCTTGTCCTCCTAGGGAAGAATTTACTTAAACAAGTGGAAAATTCTTATCGATACAGATGGTCTGAGCTCTTAAGTCCTGATAGTTAAGCTGATGTAGGTGGTCTCAGTTCTCAACAGATCTAGCCCAGAAATATATAAGCCTTGAAATATACTCATTTTGGTACTGACAAGAAGTCAGCTAGCAGATACTTGCTGAGTGTCTAAAATACGCCAGATCCATGCTAGGTACCAGAGATGCTACAAAGGTGAGTCTGTGGAATGATGCTGGTGATGCATTATTATCTACAAACACATATTAAGCAATTTATTATCTTTAAGGTGATGCACTAAAGATTAGAGACTGAAGATAATGTTGTGTAGGCTGCCCTAGTCTCATCTAATTGTAATAAACATTTTGTCTTTTGCCTAAATTACTGAGTTTCTTTTAAAATTTACAGGGCAAAGACAGTAAGGCAAATCATCCTCCTCTTAAAAAATGGCTCTCTATTTATCCTTTTCTTATAGATAAGTAATATCACCATCCTTCCAACTTGAAAACTATGGAGGTTTGATTCCTCCCTATTGCTCAGAGCTGATACCTACTCAGTACAGTCTTTGCTGCTTCTACACAGGGACATCTTCGAATTCACAATCATTATGAGAGTTTATTTCCATTTTTAAATGTTTTGTTTTCTTTTTAAAATTATCCCTCTAAAGACTCTTAACAACAACAACAAAAGCCAAATCTTAAATGTTTTATTTCGGCTAAGGAGGTAAGTGGAAGCAAGAGAAGAAATGATTTCTTCAAAAGCAAAAACCATGACGTAGGCATTATTGTTAACCTCACTTAACAGAAAGCTGAGGAGAAGAGATGTCAGGCAACTTGACTTAAGGTTATATAGTTAATATACAGTAAAGCTACAGCTAGGCTAAGAAGAATAGCTATAGAATATAGAAGTAAAATAGAAGTTTAAAAAAAGACATTTTTCTAGGAGAAAAGACTAAAAATGAGAAACTGTACGCAAAGGAAGTTCCACCCCTTCAGATGATAACCGTTGTCTAGCTTTTAATAAGAAAATATCTTGGTTAGATATATATATGATTATTTCATCTATTGTGCACAAAAAACTTAGGGAACTTCCTAGAAACTGCCTTCAGAAACTGTACTCTTGTTTTAATATCCTCAACTGTGGCACAGTTTCATCCTTTAATAATGGATTTAATTTGGAGGAACAACCACACATGATTCAGAGTCAAACTGGAAACTGAATGAAGATGTATGATTAAACTCAAGCTGTTCATTATTAGGGTCTGATATTGTTAAGTAAATAAACAAACAAAAACAGGATGAGATGAGGGGGCAGGGCACAGCTCCTATAATCACAAAAACACAGGCCTGAGAAAAGACACAGGGCTTCTAGTCCCAGCTCAGCTACTAACAAGTACACGATGAGTGTCGTCACCTCATCTCTCTGAACCTAAATTTCCTTCCAGTCTGAAAAATGCTCCTTATCAAATTATCTAGATGTCACTTTAAAAAACAGAGACCTGACTCCAAGAGCATGAAATTCAGGAAAGTTAAGTTTTTGCTAACAGAGGGTTTGGAAACTTTATCCAGAAACGTGAAGACTCTGCATTGAGGTAGAGATGAATCTCTCAGGACACAGCAGCTTAAGGCTCTAATAGCCTATTCAACACTTACGTCCTACAAGCTTCCTGACTACCAAGACTGTCAGACAAGCTGAACAGCAGTACCAGATACAACGACAAAAAAAAAAAAAAAAGTAGCCCAAATTCACAAGGCTTGACATGGAAAATTAACAGAGAGCATTCTATTTTACAGGATCTATTTGATAAGAGACTGCACACCTCTGTGCATTCAAGTCACATCATATTAATAAAAGTTAATTTTTTAAAATTTTTTATTGTGGCAAGGTATATATAATGCTTACCATTCTCACCATTTCTAAGTGTACCGTTGTGTGGGAATTATATTAACAATGTTGTACCACTATCACCACTTAGTTTTTAAATGGACATTTATATTCATTCATCTGTCAATGCAGCAGGCTGGGGATCACACATTGGGCAAAAACTTTCACGGTCCATACCTTTACGTGGCCTTCATGGACCAAGATGCTGTTTTGTTTTGTTTGCGGTCTGATAACGGTGAAGTCTTTCTGTACATGGAAAGGTAGGCAGGGTTGAAAAGGGCCTGGATAACTGCAGAGGTCAGGGAGGAGCGCGGGAAAGGTGCGGTCTTCCAAGGCCTAATTCCAGAGTCGGATACAAGGAGGACCTCAGCGCCCGCCCCAAAGGGGCGGGGCCTATGTCAGGGCGGGTGAGAGGAGCCGCAGAGAGGCTTGGGCGGGGCAGGGGGGCGGGGGCGAGGGGGGCGGGGGCGGGGGCGTGGGGG